TAGCAGAAAGAGTGAAGAACTCTAACAACATTATGATGAATAGTTGCTATACTGGTAAGCATTATTTATCTCCTTTTATAAAAGAGAGAAAAACAATCTGTTTTGTGTAAATCAATACCAATCAGGGTAATAATTCCCAATCCTAATCAATGCACTCCCATTTCTTTTGTATTTCTAACAGAATTATTCATTTTTTAGTTTTCAGTTGTTTTTAGATACATATCCATGACATGTATAACAGAGTTCTGTCTTTAAAATATAACATTGGTGCAATTATTTAAAGGTGTATGTGTTGTGAAGTATTTTAATTAAGAGAAATAGAAGACACTTCTTAAATGCATGATGGCCATATATATCTCATGAGCAACTGACAACAAACACAGGTCTTCTAGCCAACAAAAAAGGACTCTTCTTTGTGTAGACAGCATATTCATCATTGAATATGTTTATACAGTAAAATGTAGCCATATATAAATACACCAGAGTTACATGAGGCACAGCAAATAAAAAATCTACAAGTACATTTAGGTCATTATCTTTAACTGATATATTTGTACAAACTATACCTAATTTAATTGTTACTTTATCATTATAGAGTTACACTTAAAAAGATAGTATCTAGTGGAGTAGAGGTTTAGTAGAAGTTCTCAAATTTTTTGGTCACCAGACTCCTCTATACTCTCAAAAGTTGAAAGGGTACAAAACATTGTGTGTTTATGTGTTTTATTATTTCAATATGAATCATATTGGAAATTTAAAATATAAAATGTTTTAAATATTTATTAATATATTTTAAATAATAATAAATGCATTCAATATTCACATAAATTGCATCTTTATAAAATAACAACATTTCAAAACCAATGAGAAGAGTGGTGGGATTACTCTACATTTTTCAGAATCTATTTAGTGTCTAGCTTAATAAATGACAGATATTTTCATATCTGTATGTGTGCTCAATCTCTTATATCACATATCATGTAGTCTCTAGAAAAACTTCATAATATGCTCATGAGAAAATGAGAATGGCAATTATCAAGAATACAAGTAATAATAAATGTTAGTAAGGATGTAGAGGAAAAGATTCACTCACACATTGCTGATGGGACTACCAATTTTTGCAACCACTCTGGAAAGCAGTATGGAGATTACTTAGAGAACTTGGACTGAAAGCACCATTTGAGCCAGATATCCCACTCCTTGGCCAGTTATCCCACTCCACCCAAAGGACTTAAAATCAGCATACTACAGTGCCTCAGCCACATCAATATTTATAGTAGCTCCATTCACAATAGCTCTCTAAGGAACCAGCCTAAGTTCCCTTCAACAGATAAATGGATAAAGAAAGTGTGGTACAAACACAAAATGAAATATTACTCAGCCATAAAGAATAAAACTATGACATTTATTTGTAAATGGATGGTACTGGAAATTTTCATGCTAAGTGAAATGAGCCCATTTCAAAAAACCCAAGGCCACATGTTCTCTGTGATATGTGGATGCTAACACATAATAAGGGTGGGGGAGAGAAGAATAGAAGTTTATTGTATTAGACAAAGGGGAATGAAGACAAGGAAGGTAGGATGGGAATAGGAAAGACAGTACAATGAATCAGATTTAATTTTCCTCTGTTTCTGTATGGATACACAAGCAGTGAAACTTCACATCATGTACAACCACCAGAATGGGATCCTAATCAGTGTACGTTATATTCCATGTATGTAAAATATATCAAAATATACTCTACTGTCATGTACCTCTAGAAAGAACCATTTTTTAAAAAAAGAAAGTATGATTTTGGAAAAGGAAGAGAAAAATATTCACTTTCTAATTCATACTTTGAAAATAGAGCAGAATCAACTGAAAATAATTTTATTCATAAGTTACCAATTAGAAAAACTGATACAGTTTTTCATTAAAAAACTAGCCTGAAATTTTAATTCAAAATATTTTAAATTCTCAATAAAGATCAAAATCATTTGTAGTAATACTATATATAGAGACACTATGTCAATAATACTAAACATCATAGTGAAATCCAAAGAATAAATCAGTGAATGGAAGTACATATATATCATTATTCTTATTTAGATGACCCAATTTGTCATAGTTATTATTACATGAAGTTTTTAAACATAATGCCTCTAAAATTCAAATATTTATTATACTAATTGATTTTAAATTTTATTTGAGTACAAGAGTAGCCAATACTAATGAAGTGACTAGCCTTATCAAAAATTAACATCATAAAACTAGAATATTAAAATGATGCTGTTTTCAACTAAATATAAGAATATCTTAAGTGATAAAGGTATTATTTAAAATACATGGAAGAACAAATGATGTTGGAATAATGTAATTACTGTATACAAAAATATACAGTTTTATCCTTAGCACAATCCAAAATTAAAATAACTTTCAAATAGAATAAGGATTTAAAATTAAAAAAAATAAAAAACAGAAAAGTGTTAGAATAAAAGACTTCATCTTTTACTAATCCTAAGGTTGGAAAGGACTTTTAAAGATCATTATATAAAATAAAGGAACCAACATACTCAGTGACTTGATCTTATTAAAATTAAAATTTTCTGAATAGCAAAAGACACCTACGATGAAGACAAATTTAGCTGAAATTATCCTTTACAAATTAAGTGGAATAAAACCCTACATAGCAACTCCACATCAATAGACCAATGAAAAAAGTTTATAAATGAATGAAGAAACAGACAAAGACTAATCACAAAGGAAGAAATAAAAATGAACAATATAAAAAAAATGACCTTCACTAGTGTTAAGTATGCTATGAGTTTAATCTTCATGCTCCTGGTAAAAATAATTTGGTTTGTTAGTTTAGTCATTTCCAAAGGAAGCATATAGTCAAATATATTTAAGTTTTAGAAATACTTATTTAAATCTTAGAACTATTTAAAAATTGAACTGTGAAAAAAGAGGGAAAAGAAAATGTCCCCTGAGATTTTAAATGGACAATTAATTGTTGGGTAATAGTGGAAGTAAATGATATAGTAATAGGAAAGGGTTTATTAGAAAAAGAGCCTATAACAAATTTAGTTCATTTCTATTGATGGCTAAGGGGAATAAAAATGAGAAATATCTGGACATATGTAATAAGTGTATGGTTTCAGAAGTATAGAATGAAGACCATCAGAATGCCAGAAAATCTGTCTTTAATAAAGAGTGAGTTTAGGGTATGAAACCTGGAAAATGAGGTAAATAAGAATAAAAATGTATATATGTGAGCCATTTGTTTACTTGATATAAAATTAGCCATCCCCTTCCAGTTAGTTGCACCAAAAAAGAGAAAAACATTGAGTACTGATGGGAACTAAGTTAAAGAGGATCAGGTAGGTTTCTACCCTCTCCATGCTGAATTCAGGCAAGAATATTGTTACAGCTCATGGACACAGTGCCTTCACACACAGAACAAATGATTACTTTCAAGTTGTATGCTTATCAAAGGTCTAGGACTACTCTGCCAGTGTTTCCTAACACGTTCCAGAAGATCAAGAAATGTAGATATGTAAGTGTTCTGTGTGAAACATAGCTCAAAATCAGTTATGAAATATCAATAATGTTTTCAAGGAGGGAACACTCCGGTGTATAAAGCATGCAAAAAAATCAAGTAGCATGCTCTGAAATAATGAGCTTCTATTTTACAGGGAGGGGCATAAGAAACTTAATATGAACTATACAATTTCACAGAGTACACTATCAACTGGAGTAAATTAATACCGTTGCCACTGAGTACCAATGTGCAAAAAGGATTTTAGTGAAATATATTTGCCTTTTGAACCTGTATTATTAATGAAAGGATAACTTTTAAGAGATTTAGGGATTTATGAATATTTCTGTGCTATACATCAAAAATACAAGTTCTTATTTATTTGAAATTAAAGTATTGGTATTCTGGACATTTTGCAGTCACTTATTATGATGGTAATGTAATGGAAATATTTGTAATCTCCCTCTACTCAGGAATAAGTCCATGTATGAAGGACTTTATCACAAACACATTAGAAATTTAAAAATTAGCTGGGTGTGGTGGCCCATGCCTATAATACCCGTGGTTCAGGAGGCTGATGCAGGAGGATCACAAGTTCTAAGCCAGCCTAAGCAATTTAGCGAGGCCTAAGCAACTTATCAAGATCCTGTCTCAAAATAAAAAATAAAAAGGGTTGTTAATATGGCTCATTGGTTAAGTACCCTGGGTTCAATCCCCGGTACCAAAAAAAAAAAGTATAAAAAAATTTTACTCTAGTTAATTCCACTATAATGTTGAGTCTTCGTTTCTACCATTACCTAAAGTCCAAATCAAAAAGAAGCCCTAAAGAGAGACAAGCACAAACTTTGGTGTCAAACACTTGTAGTCAAAAGCAAGCTATATCACTTTGGTGTCAAACACTTGAGTCAAAAGCAAGCTATATCAACTGTGATATATCACTTAACTGTGACTTTTTAAAAGTCAATTAACATTGCTGAGCTTTAGTTTCTTTATTTATAAGATTAGATACAAATAGCTACATCACATCGTTGTGGATAATAAACTGCATACCATATGCACAATACCTTTTAGCACAGTTCCTTGTACATAGTAGGCATTCAACTAATGTAAGTAAATTTCTATTTCCATGTATCCTCAAAGCAAGTTGTGATTTATTATAAAACATTAAATGAATATACTATACTTTAATAACCTAAACATTTTTTTTGCTTTCATCTGAGTTTTATGTCATTATTATTATTTCAATAATTAAATAGATTAATATATTTAAGCACATATTATTAAATATTGATGATGTTATTAATGTAGTATATTATAATGTAGTAATTAATTATATAAATTTTCTCATAGGATAAATAATAATATTAACAATATAATGGAAGATATTTAAGATTCAAGAAATTCTTACTAATGCTTCATAATTTAGGACTCTACTATCATAAGGAAAAATATCTCAAAATAATAAACTAACTATACTTACATGTTTCCAATGGGTAAATTCTTCTTTTATATTAGTTTCATCCTTGAAAATGATATCCTTTGGAAACCCGTCCTCAGATCCTTTGGTTATGTAAACCCATTTTGCCTCATAGTCTCTAAAAATTTTTTCTCGGTGTCTTTTACACAAGAAGAAAGGACTTATTATAAGGGAAGGAAAAAAATATCCATTAGGTTTTTGCTAGAAAAAAGGTAAAAATTACTCATAAATTTACTACATCTTAGATAGTATGCTGTTAAATTCAATGTAATATTTGTTTTTCCTTAATACTATATCATTCTATGTAGGGACTAAGGATGTGTTTGTCAATATTCATCAAGGGATGAATGTGTGTGAGAAATTTCTGCTACTATGAATGTACAAATGATTTTGTACCTATATATGTCTATATGATTTTTAAAATATAATGGCATGAAGAGCACAACTAAACTATCAATAGGAATATAAGACAATAAGTGTGAAGTCAGATTTTTCTTCTCCAGTAAAAAAGAGCTGTAAGTACTTACTACATCACAAAAATTATATTTGTACTACATTATACATACTAGTACTCTTGATCAGTACTAGCCGACACAATGTAATTCTAAATTTACTGCTGTACAGCCTAAAAAACGATAAAAATAAATAAGTGAGGATAATTTTGATAGTATACTTTACCACAATATGTCCAAAATATTACCCAATGAATAAAATTTACAAACTAACACCATACTTAATGGTAAAATACTGAATGTTTTACCCTCTAAGATCAAAAACAAAGGAGGGATATTCCCTCTCATCACAATGAATATTTCACTAGAACTAGTGCCTAATCAAGTACGGCAACAGAAAGAAACACACAGAATGACTCATCTTTGAATACAGGTGCGAAATTTTTGAATATTAGAAAAAAGAATCCATGAAAGTAAGCAAAGTATAAGAACACTATGCTCATGCATTGCAGAACTCATTGTATCAAGAAATTGATGGAGAAAAAAAAATGTAAGGTTATATAAATAGATGCAGAAAAAGCATTAGACAAATTTTTTTTCAGGAATCTTTATTTAACAATCTTTGTAAGAAAGGATCAAATTAAACCACACCCATACCATGGAAACAGCTTACCAAATATCAATAACATCCACTCAATGTGACAAAACAGCAAAGTTATGTAAATTCAAATGATGAACCAGGTAAATTTATTGTTACCATTATTCCTTTTTTTAAATTAATTTACCACTATTCCTTAATAGCAGAAGTACAACAAAAATTATCTAAGGGAAGCAAGTCCTACTTCTCATATGTCTTAAGTGGGCACCATTTCTTCATTCAAACTACTTTCATTGGTGACCCAGAAAATAGGTAAGATGTATTAATAGAATGAAATTTTTAATGATTTAAACAAAACAGAAGTTTACGTCTCTCATGAACTGTATAGGTTTATGGGGTAGCCCGGTCTCATAAACTCATTCAATCTTGTTTCACCTCATCCAAGGACACTGTCATTGGTATTCCAGTGCAATACAAAGGAACACATAAAAACAAGTGAAACATAATAACCATTTAAGCAAGTAAAGCAGAAATTGTACTCTTTACTCCTGCTCACTTGCAAATGTAACAAAAATGTAATCAGATAAACACATGTAACACTAGAGAAACTTTTAAGATAATATCTACAGTTCATTCAACTGACAAAAGGAAAGAAAATAATGGATTTTCAAGCAAAAAATAGTATCCTGCAAATGTCCTATAAGTACTGCGTGCTAACCGATTGTGCCACTGGAGCTCCAGGATCCTGCAAATGTCCAAAATGTACTTTGTAAAGAAAACTAATAAGTAGAGACAGATCATGAAGAAATAAAACATTCAATATATATTAAGTGAATTACTTTTTACATAGGCTAATCTGAGATAATATTGCTAAGAAGAGACAATAGCATCTCAGGGAAGCATTCTATTTAGAGCAAACATCTAGTGCAAAAGTCCAGGAAGGAGTATCCTTGGTGAGGCAAGACTGCACATGCATGTTTGAAGAACAGGAGGAAAGTCACTGAGATGGGAAATCATTGCAGAACTTTAAATAGAAAAGTGGCTTTGAAAAAGATCACACTGGGAAAAGGAGTTCTGGAATGGAGATATAAATAATTCTGTGGAAACTGTCCTTGATGAAACAACGATAACCAGTGCAAATTATTATCATTTTTTTTTGAAAATTTAAAGATGTCTGGGAATTCTCCAAAGAAAGTGCTGCAAAAGGAATAAATATTTATTCAAGAAAATCTATTCCCATTAACTTAATATTTTCATTTTCTTAATATATTCAAAAAATATATCCAGTCTTATAACAATGAGAATCTGTACCATTTAAACCACAACTTGCTCTCTATTCTTCCCTTCCTTTCTTTTCATCCCAGTTCAGCATAACAGAAGTTCTACTGTGAATAGGTATATGCTGGAACACAGAATCCCTCTTCCCTCAGGAAGCTCAAGTATCTCACCTAAAAGAGAAAGGCACCACATTTATCACATCTTTGCCCTAGTTCCATATTTCAGAGGTATTATCCCAGGCAAGAATGGCTGATGTCTGAAACTTTCTTTCCCCACTTCGGTTCCCACTCAGGACAAAAGCTCTAACCTAGGTGCAATACCTACAGAACACAGAAACTGGAAATCCATATGCAACAAAATGAAATTGAATCCCTATCTCTCACCATGCACAAAAGTTAACTCAAAATGGATCAAGGATCTAGGGATTAAACCAGAGACTCTGCATCTAATAAAAGAAAAAGTAGGCCCAAATCTCCATCACATGGGACTAGGCACCAACTTCCTTAATAAGACACCTATAGCACAAGGATTAAAATCAAGAATCAATACATGGGACGGATTCAAACTAAAAAGTGTTTTCTCAGCAAAAGAAATAAGATGTGAGGTAAATAGGGAGCCTACAACCTGGGAACAAATTTTTACCCCTCATACATCAGATAGAGCTCTAATCTCTAGGGTATATAAAGAGCTCAACAAGAAAAGCACCACGAAAACAAATAATCCAATCAATAAATGGGCCAAGGACCTGAGCAGACACTTCTCAGAAGTGGATATAGAATCAATCAACAAATATACAAAAAAAAAAATGCTCATCATCTCTAGCAATCAGAGAAATGCAAATTAAAACTTCTCTAAGATACCAACAACAAGTGCTGGCGAGGATGTGGGGAAAAGGGTACACTTGTACATTGCTGGTGGGACTGCAAATTGGTGCAGCCAATTTGAAAGCAGCATGGAAATTCCTTAGAAAACTGGGAATGGAACCACCATTTGACCTAGCTATTCCTCTTCTCAGAATATACCCAAAGGACCTAAAAACAGCATATTACAGGGACATAGCCACATCAATGTTTATAGCAGCACAATTCACAATAGCTAAACTGTGGAGCCAACCTAGATGTCCTTCAGTGGATGAATAGACAAAAAAAATGTGGCATATATACACAACGGAATATTACTCAGCAATAAAAAAATAATAAGATCATGGCATTTGCAGGGAAATGGATGACATTAGAGAAGATTATGCTAAGTGAACTTAGCTAATCCAAAAAAAACAAATTGTGAATGTCTCCTCTGATATAAGGGGTGGTGACTCAAAATGGGGTTGCAGGGACAGCAAGGGAGGAAGATTACCTCTAGATAGGGAATAGGGGTGGGAGGGAAAAGGAGGGAGAAGGGGAATAGCATGGATGGTGAAAGGAGACTCTCATCATTGTACAAAATACATGTATGAAGATGTGAATTTGGTGTCAACATACCTTATATATAATCAGAGATATGATAAACTATTGTATAATGGTGTATTAATAATTGTAATGCAAAGAAATAAATAAATAAATTTAAAAGAAAAAAAAAAGAATACAGAAACTTTGATTGCTCTTACCACAACTCACTTGTGGGGTGGAGAGTCACGTGGAATTGCCACAGTTCAGCACTGACAAAGTGCTGACAAAGCCTTTTTCGAACACAGACTATCATTAAAAACAAATATAAAAATAAGAGTCAAACAGAAATTCTACAACTGAAAACAAAAACAAAAACAAATGAAAACCCTAACTAAAGTAGCTCAATAGTAGATATAAATTGGAAGAAGAAAGTATTGGAAAACCTGAAAAGGCTGATGGAGATTATGAAATTTGAAAGAACAAAAACAAAAAAAAAACCATTAAGACATATGAACCAACCCACAAACAGTTGTTGGACACTATTAAGTTCACCAACAAGAGCAATGGGAATACAGAGGACAGAAATGATGGAAAAAGGTAGAGAAAATATCAGAAGAAATGATAAAATTTCTGAAACTTGATGAAAAAAAATTTATGTGCATATCCAAGAAACCAATGAACTCAGGATTTTTTTAAAGTCACATTCAACACATCATAATAAAACTATTGAAATATGAAGAGAAACAAAAAACATTGAAAACAGCAAAGGAAAAATTACTAGTCATATACATAGGAGTTGCCATGAGATTACTGACTTTTGATAAGGCACAAAGAGTCCAGGAGACAATAATATGACGTTGTGAAAGGGCTGCATGGAAAAAAATCAAAGCCAAAACTAACAACAACAACCTCAACCAGAATCTTCAATCTGGTAAAACTCTTTAAAAACTGAACACAAAATAAAAGTTTTTCCAAATCAATAAATACTGAGAAATTCACTTCTATCAGAGAAGCCTTATAAGAAATGTTAAAGGACGTTCTTTTAAAAGCTGAAAGAAATCACATTGGACATTAATTTGAATTGATGTGAAAATACTTGGTAAAAATAATTATATAATTTCTAAATACTATAAATTCATATTTACTTTCTTCTATTAATTTAAAAAATTATATACTTGTATCTCTAATATCATATAAATATATTTGACAGTAACAGTATGAGAGACAGGTGATGGAAAAGCTAACTCAAATTTATAGAAATAAATGAAAAAAAAAAGCTAGAATGATAAATAGGATCATTAACATAACAAATTCTATGAGTATATATATTTTATTTTCTCTCTTCAAAGGACATAAAATTTCATAAAGTGATAGTCATAATAATGAACTATTGAGTTTAAAACATATATAAATGTAATATATAACATTAACATATTAATGTTATAAT